ATACTTTGCTTTTCCCAGGCGGTCAATGAGATCATCAATTCGTTGGGTGGGGTAGGAGTCAAACTTTGAAATTGAGTTTAGATACCTGAAGTCGATACAAAACCTTATTGTCCCATCCTTTTTCGGAACCAGCACCACGGGATTGCACCACTCACTCTTAGATCGCTGAATTAATCCCCAGAGACAGCATTAAGTCAACTTCCTTCTTCAGGAACATCAGGAGGCGCTCTGGTATCCTGTAACTCATACGTCTCGCTGTTGCATCAGGTTTTAATACAATGTCATGTTCAACCAGGTTCGTGCGCCCTGGATATTCTTGAAATATGTCTAAGTGAAGTAGAGTTTGTAGAGTTGAGACTGCTGTTCCCTTGACAGATGGCTTACATCAAGCTCTGTGGACGACACTGGCAAGGGCAGATACTGGTCATCTGCCTCCTCCTCTTCCTTTACAGCCTGAATCAGGAACACCTCAGCTCTTGGGACCCACTCCTTAAGGAGGTTCACATGAAGCACCCGGCTAGAACGCTGATGCCCTGGAGCGGAGACCTGATAGGTGGTGGGCCCCAACTTTTCCTTCACCTCAAAGGGCCCCTGCCATTTTGCAAGGAGCTTACTGTCACTGGTAGGCAACATAACCAAGACTTTCTGGCCTGGTTGAAAGCCTCTCTGTCGAGCCGACTTGTCATACCAAGTCTTTTGGTGCTTTTGGGCCTCCAGCATGTGTGTCTGGGCTAGTTCCCCCATTCGCTGCAGTCTCTCTCTCATCTGGACAACATAAGAGATTACATTAATGGTCCCTTCCTTCCCCTGATCTCCTCCCCAAGTGTCCCTCAATAAGGCTAGAGGACCCCTCACCTCATGACCATAGAGTAGTTCAAAAGGGGAAAAACCTGTGGAAGCCTGAGGTACCTCCCTATATGCAAAGAGGAGGTATGGAAGCCAATGATCCCAGTCAGATCCAGTCTCATTCACAAACTTACGAAGCATTTGCTTGAGGGTCTGATTGAACCGCTCCGTCAGCCCATCTGTTTGCGGGTGGTGGGGCGTAGTACGCACACTCTTTATGCCGAGGAGTTGGTAAACCTTTTTCAAAAGTTTAGACATGAAATTAGTGCCTTGGTCTGTTAAAATTTCACAAGGGAAACCAACTCTTGAGAAAAAAATGCACCAAGGAAGAAGCCACAGTTTTTGCTTTAACTGATTTCAATGGGAAGACTTCTGGATATTTGGTTGCATAGTCGGTTACTACCAACATAAAGCGGTTTCCTGTTTTACTTTTCTCCACCGGACCAACAATGTCCATCCCAAGACGCTCAAAGGGGATACTTGTAACTGGGAGAGGTTGAAGTGGAGCTTTGGAGGGACTTTTCATTGATGTCTTTTGGCACTGAGAGCAGCTTCTACAGAACTGGGCGACGTCAGTTTGCAAACCTGGCCAGTAGAAATGGCGCTTAATACGAGCTGTGGTCTTATGTTTTCCCTAAGTGGCCAGCCCAGGGAATGGAGTGACCCAAGGTAAGTACTATTTCTCGGGCCACCTGTGGGACCACTAGCTGCTTCACCTGGCCATTCTGATGGTAAAGAACACCGTTCTGTAGGACATACTCATTTCGCTCACCATTAGTATTAGTCTCCTGCTTGCTTCCTCGAGCTCTCTAAAAAAGGGTAGACAAAGTTGGATCATTTTCCTGCATTTGCATTATATCTGTAGGTATTTGGAAACCCAGGGGCATGTCTGGAGTAGTCTCAGCCGGTGGTTGTATAGCCGTGCCCCGAAATTTGTCTTGCCTCCTTTGACTACGAGTCTTGTGAGCTTTCCCGGGACATGTCTCAAACTCTTCATTATAGAAGGGCAAGGCACTGAGGGCTATGGAGTCCGTGTCCACCTGCTTAGCTTGTGCTCTAGTGACCACATTACAACTTTGCACTGGCTTGATCAAGTCATAGAGTACTGGCAGATCTTCACCTAAAACTACAGGGAAAGTTAAGTGATCCGCAACTCCCACATTTAACAGATACATCTGTCCCTCTATCTCCAGATAAATATCGGCAGTGGGGTAATACTTCTCATCGCCATGTACACAGCAAATAGGGACAGTCTCAAGGGTACAGATAGCATTAACTGGTACATATTTTCTCTGTACAAGGGTCTGAGTGCTGCCAGTGTCAATCAGGGCTCTGAGGTTTTCCACATTGATTTTAACCCAAGCCATTTTCATGGTGTGGTTACCTTTGGGGTCAGGGTTAGCACTCTGACGTGGAACAAAACACATCTGGGTCAGCCTGGCTGGATTCTTCGGGCACATTGGTTTAACATGACCTTCCTGTCCACACAAGTAGCAAATGGGTATTCTGTTAGGAGCTCTAGGTGGTACATATTGGTTCTCCCTCATGGGAGGCTTACCCACTCCTATCGCTGACCTCTGTTGGTACTGAGGGGGTATGGGCCGGTGTCCGTCCTTACCAGCCTTCCCACCCATACTACTCCATGTCTGGCCTTTTTTCCTGGCAGCACCAAACACATCAGCAAGTGTGGCAGCTTCACCAGCAGATTTCGGCCCATGCTCATTTACTCAAACCTGAAGCTCAGGGGACAGCATTCTCAAGTATTGTTCCATGATCAAGATTTCATTAATTTCATGAAGTGTTTTACCTTGCGGTTGGATCCATTTTACATACAGCTCTTTAAGCATCTCATACAGCTCCTTGGTGCTTTCCTCAGGTTCCACATAGAGAGATCTGAACCTCTGCCTGTAGGTCTCAGGGTTAATATCATATTTTTCCAGAATTGCTGTTTTCACTTTATCATATTCATGAGCATCATCTATATCCATATGCACATAGGCTCCTCTGGCCTTACCCGTCAGCAGTGGGAGGAGACGAAAAACCCAGTCCACCTTTGGCCACCGACATGTTACTGCAATTCTCTCAAAGGTAATTAGAAAATGTTCCACATCATCATTTTCTGTTAATTTTTCCAGTCTAGGCTCATGAAAGGATCGAGACTGACCTGCTGAAGACATGGTGGGATGGATCGAATCTATAGAGGGTGAGGCATGGGCCTTTGGATGATTCACATTCAAATCATAGTCCTCAGAGGGACCTGGCACTATGGAAGCAGGCTCTGGTACTGGAGATGTGCGAACCTCCACCTCCTCCTGCAGAAGGCGAAACTGATGCTGTGGTGCTTTGAACTGGTACTCCTGGCAGTTGGCTTCCTCTCTCAATTTTGCTTCCCTGGTCTCCTGTTGACCCATAAATGACCGCATGATCCCAGCCAGGTCACTCAGCGTTGGCTCTCTGCCATCTTCATCTCCTTCATCATGCTCCATTTAGTGCTTCACCTTCCATTGCGTCCTCATCTTCCGCCCGGTGTCCTCTCTCTATATGGGTTGACTCAGTCTTCTTATTCTCTGTCCGGCCACCCCTTGTCACTTTCGCTCCTCGCATGCTTCCCCAAAATGAGAAAAAAAAATGGAAAAAAAACGAGAAAAAAAACAACCTTGTACTCCTCAACTGGCTAATCCCACTGCTGCCACCATATGTTAGGGACCAAGCAGTTAAGTCACAAGGCAGACTGATCTCATGAAATGGCGTATGTATGACACGCCAATTCGTATTTCCATTTTTGGCGTGCTATTAACACGCATAATCGCTTTTCAGCGTGTTTATCAACGCCGTTGACTTAACGTTATATTACTGTATTATATATATATATATAAATATATTTACCCACTTGACCTACCCCAACCCCGTCCCTAAACCTACCCGTCACTGGGGTTAATACCATTTATTAGTGTTCTCCTACCATCCTAGGAAAAGAAATATCGCTCCACAGATGTAGATATAGATTTTGCTTCGTTTCGCTCGGACATTTAACGCCGTACACATACACGCGGAATCACTCGGACGTTTAATGGCGTAGACATACACGCAAAAGATTTCGGCGTGGACATACACGCGGATAGCTCAAAATGCGTATAGATAACACGCCACTTGACTTGAAAGTGGCGTGTATGTTTACGCAAAGTCATGATGTCATGTTGCACAAGGGAAGTTCACAATTAAGAATTTTTATTTCCCAAAAACAAATCATTACAACCAAAAAAAAAAAAAAAATTGCACCTATAAAAGAGGTCAAATAAACAGAAGGTAACTAAAGCTCTGAACATAAGAGACTCAAATATAACTGACCTCCAACAAAAGAAACTTATATATTGGCTGATCAAACCAATTTTGACACACAAGGGAAGACTAACAACAACACTACTACATATGACAGAAATAACAGCAAAATCTACCCAAAAACTTATTACAAAAGAAATGTACTTTTACTTAACCTTAACTCAACAAAAATACTCATATAATATAAATCTAAACCCCAAAATATCTAAGAAGAAAATAAAGCTACCCCCCAGACATAACAAGCAGTGGTAGTGTCCAATTAGGCCATCTCCCCTTTAAAGCTGCTCCTGCTCCAAGTGCCACCCCTTTAAGCCAGCCGACTTCCTGGATCTCTCCAGGGTGTGGAATCCAACACTGGTAAGCTCAGAAACAAAATAGTTGTACAAACAGAATGACAATCCAAAAGTAACTAATGGTGCGCGCTCCCAAAAAATATACTTCTGAATGGTCAACTAAATAAAGTAAAATGTATGTGAAATGAACTAAGTGTCCTGTGAGTTATTTGTAACTAAATGTTTGCAACAAATGTCTAATGAGTATGAGAAAAAGTATATAAACTAATCCTAAAGAAAAACACCATAAACTCACGAAAAATATAAGTGCATGAGGTTAACGCTCTTGAACTGGTTGTGAGGCTATGGCTATGGCCATCACAATGTGTATAAAAAGTGTGTTTGTATGTGTGTGTGTGTGGGTGAATGTGTCTGTTTTGCACTCTTGATGTTTTAGAGTGTCACCCCTTCATTGTTGAGCACATTTTTTCTGCATCGTGGCCAATTTGTAGATTGTACACACAAATTCTCAGAATTTTTGTGTTTTTGTCAATTTCCCATTCATTTCCTATGGTCGGTCATGTTTGACAGAAGAGCAAAAGTGTGACTCATTTTTTTATGACCACTTAAACTGCTCGAATCATGACCTCAATTTTTTTGTGTGTTCACATACCTATTGCCATAAAAGTCACCAAGTTTCGTAATTTTCTGATGAAGCTGTGATTTTTAAATATTCAAAACAGATTTCTTTAATCACAATTTATTGGTGTTTTGTGTATAAAAGTGTGTGTTGTTTGTGTGTGTGGGTGGGTGGGTATATCTGTTTTGCACTCTTGATGTTTTAGAGTGTCACCCCTTCAATGCTGAGCACTTTTTTTCTGCATCGTGGCCGATTTGTAGATTGTACACACAAAAATTCTCAAAGTTTTTGTGTTTTTGTCAATTTCCCATTCATTTCCTATGGTCGGTCATTTTTGACCGAAGAGCACAAGTGTGACTATTTTTTTTACAACCACTTAGCCTGCTCGGATCATGACCTCAATTTTTTGTGTGTGTTCACATACCCAATGCCATAAAAGTCACCAAGTTTCGTAACATTCCGATGAAGCTGTGATTTTTAAAAATTTAAAACAAACATTTTCGGTCAGAAATGACCGAAGAGCACCTGAGGGTTAAAATCAAATCACAGCTGCTAGAGGAATACACATTTTATTTTTTATTGTAGAAGAATGCTTGAGTAGCACCTACAAACCAAATAAAGGCACATGATGTTTAAAACATAGTGTTTTGAGAGGAAGGATGGGAACCCTTTGGAATTCTCAATGTGATTTATTTGTGTAGTAATGTTTATGTTGTACCTGATCAGTCCTCCATAGCAGTTAGGTAGTTTGACTGATGTTTCAATTCAGAATTGGTTTGGTTCTTGAACATATTTGGGATGTTTTGGCCTATTACAGCACAGCAGTTTATTGGAGGTCAACATTCTGACTGAGCCATTACAAAGTCTCTTTCAAGGAAAGTCTGTTCACCTGGTGGACATATTTGCAACACCGCCATTTTGGGCATCCAAGACTGCTGAAATCTCAAATCAGCAACAAAATCTGACATGAACTGTCTTTTAAACATTGTTTCCAATGGTCAAATATCGTAAAAAAAAAAAAAAAAAAAAAAACGTATACCAGCCGATGCGTCTCATGACTTCGCTAGTTCAGACTTATGCTCCCTCCAGAAGCTTGCGTTCTGCAAGTGAACGACGCCTGCCATCCCAAAGAGGCACAAAATCACTCTCACTGACCTTTTCCTAGACTGTTCCCAGCTGGAGGAATGACCTGCCTATCTCAATTCGAGCAGCTGAGTCCTTAGCCATTTTCAAAAAAATGTCTAAAGACTCATCTTTTTCGTCTAACCAATTAATACTAGCACTTACCTTTTCTATTCAATTTTTTTTCTGATTTACAAAATTTTGAAAAAAACTTGCTATGTGTACTGTGCTAGACTAACTTAGACTTGTTACAGCACTTGTATACTGTTGCCCTCTTGTTGGTCTGATTACTTTTATTGTTCTCCTCATTTGTAAGTCGCTTTGGATAAAAGCGTCTGCTAAATGATAAAATGTAAATGACATTGACTGTTTCTGCGATAACCGGAACTTAAAGGCAGCTGCAGTGACTTTACCAATTGGTGATTGGCTCTTTTATTTAGAAGGCGGGACTTATTCCGCCATAATGCGCATTGAAGTTTCTCCCATTCATAGTAATATGAGTGCCCCTTCTTGGTATATCTAAAGTCTTCGGGCATTATAAGAATACACTCAATGTATATATACGACTACTTTTGGACTAATGTCATGTTGCATGACCTCTTTAAGTTTCAGAATCAGATTCAGAGTCAAACACTGAATTTCCTGATACAACTAAATTCAGACTGCAGGCAAAAGTGTCCCAAATCAGATTATTTTTGCTCGTATGTGATCTGATTTTTTTTATAACCCTGTGAACAGCACAAAGCACATGGAATCTTCTCTTTTCGATTCCTCAATATGTGGTCCTAAATCCAGGTCAGATCATGTTTGCAAAGCAACCTCAGTCTAAACAGTCATCAGAATTCTTGCTACGTTTACTCCACTGTAGATCAACATTTGTCACAATACTGCGCTGATGGACATCACTCCAAAGATTTTACATACCGACGGTAGTTCTTTGAAAATGACAGACAGCAGGGAAGTTAGTCAGTTGGAGGGACTGTGAGCTGTTATACTCATACTGTAAGTATTGTGGTGACTGCTCTATAAAAACAAAGCTTGAGGAAAAGCTGTTCAAGAAAAACGTTGCTTTCTTTCTCCTCCTCCTCGTCTGCATCTTCCTTATTGCCACAAGTTCACTGGCTTCCGTGGCACATAACCTTATAAATGAACGTGTAAATGCTGACTTCCTACGTGTTTACTTCCGTATGACAGCGTGCTGCATGCCGTGTTTGTTAATGTTCTTTTGCGCATGCGGGTCAGTTCAGAACCGGAACCAGTTCACACTTGAATTTGATAATGGCTACATTTAAAAGATAATGTGAAGAGCCAAACAACAACACAAATCGGATCTGAGCAATGAATCAGAATTGAGCATCAAGACATAGCCTTAGAGCACCCTGATGCAGCAAAGCTGACCAATTTCATTACATGTCCCCATGCTTCACATTGTTTTTTTCCCCTCAAATATAAAACATTTTGTTGTTTTAGTGGTGCTTTGGAACTTGGAGGAGGTCTTTGCAAACTTTGTGTGTTCATCAGCAGTAATGCTTCCAAAGCGGTGGTTTGCTCTTATGGCTCTGTTCCATGCACGGTGATCCTTGACTCTTGCGGTTAATTGTTATGAGCTTCAGCAACCCCACTTTATAGATCCTCTTACACACATTATGAAATAGTACATGCTATGCTATATATACTGGAATCCTATGAAATGTGTAACTCATTGAATATCTAAGAAGTATTTTTTTTTTTACCAATTTTAAAAAGAAATGTTATGACGTAAAATTAATAGGAAATATGCCCCACTAATTGAAGGCATTTATCTGGGAGGCCCGTAATAAGACTGCACAAAGTATCAAATGGGATAAAAATGTATTTTTTGGATACTGAGAGAAAATTCAGTGTATATATATATATATATATATATATAGTTTTAATCTATTTCATCCTTTTTAAAAAAACATCTAACCAATAAAATATTTGTGTGTAGTATTATTTATTTTTATGTTAATTCACTTGCATATTTTTCAGTTTTCATTTTAATTTTAGTAATTTTGTTTTTTATATATTTCTATTTAGCTTTAATTTAGTTTTATTTCAGTTTTAGAAATGTTAGTTCTTTAGCTTTAACTTATTTTATTTCAGTTAGTTGACAAGACAACATTTTTAACTTTCACCTAATATTGATATTCATTTTATTTCAGCTTTATTTCAATAAAAAAAAAAAAAACATTTTAATAGTTTTAATGTTATAGTTAACAATAAAACAGTAATGATTTGTTTCTTGTATAAATTGTATTTCATCAGAATGCATGCATATTTGTAAAGAAAGATGCTCTTTGTGGCCGGATGGTGTAATTACAGCGTCTACCAGCAGGGGCTAACTGAGGCATGTTAACCAGTTGCTAGTTAACAAGCTTCTATTGTGATTGTAAATACATTCACTGAGCTTCATATATATATATGATGCAACATCTCAAAGACAGAATGATAAATAACTACTGAAAAACAAACAATTATGTTGAGCAGCTTGTGGGCTAATATATTTCGCTCTCATAATTGTTGCACTTCTCTCAAAACAATGCTCCAAGAGCATATGCTAACTAGATTTGAGGTGTGAAGCACATATGTTTCCGCTTCTGTCCCGGCATCATTGATTCATGCGTCATCCAATCAATATCTGTAGGTATATCCTGCTTGGCTGATGAATTCTTTGTAATATATTAGTGCATATATATTGTATATCGCATCTCTCAGAGATGGTTAAATAAGTGTGAATCATCTCAGGAGAAGCCTGTGGTGTTTGAGGATGTGGTCAAACCCGTGGGTGTTGGATTCCAACCCTTCTGTCAAAACAGCTGCCTTATAATGTGAAATATAAATGAGAAACAATTTCAATGAAAGTCAAAGGGAACATATGGGAGTCACGCACATTTTGAGAACAATCCTCATTAATAAACAGTATGCGGCATGAAGATGTGGACATCTGGGGTTTGCTGTGATCTACACCAATATGAAGCTGTGTTTTGCCATTTTGTGGGTATAGTTTAGGTTGTGTTGGTACAGATTAGGCCCATCGGTTAAATGTCACATTTAGAGCTCGTCCATTTTCCTTTCTCTCCTTTTGCAACATGCACCTGTTATGTGCCTGAAGATTAATGAGTGGAGAAATGTTGACATTGTGGATGTCTCTTTCTTTCTCGTAATGGTTTATGCTGTGGGACTCATTATAAGCTCACAATGATACTGATATTTACATACACTGTAAAAAAAAAAAAAATGTTTTGCCATCTAACCTAAAAATGTGTCATATCTAAATGGACTGTTTTTATAATAAGGGGGTTCAAGCAAAGCGCCGAAACCCCATTGTAATAATTAGAATTTACATGCATCAGGATTCTTCCCTTAAAAGTGATCGGGCAGACCAAACCAGAAGTCGTAGAGAGTTGTCGCCCAGAAGTCGTCTATGATCTATGACGAATGTGCTTAAAACCCTTAAAGGGATACTCCACTTTTTTTAGAAATAGGCTCATTTTACAACTCCCCCAGAGTTAAACTGTTGAGTTTTACCGTTTTTGAATCCATTCAGCCGATCTCTGGTTCTGGCGGTACCACTTTTAGCATAGCTTAGCATACATCATTGAAGTGGACAAGACCATTAGCATTTCTCAAAACAAAAATGACAAAAGACTTTCGATATTTTTCCTATTTAAAACTTGACTCTTCTGTAGTTACATCGTGCACTAAGACCGACGGAAAATGTAAAGTTGGGATTTTCTAGGCTGATATGGCTAGGAACTATACTCTCATTCCTGCGTAATAATCAAGAAACTTCACTGCCGTACCATGAGAGCAGCAGGCGTAATGATATGACGCAGCGCCTGAAAATAGGCCACCTTCCGTCAACACAACGGAACTATTTTCAGGCGCTGCGTCATATCATTACGCCTGCTGCTCTCATGGTACGGCAGTGAAGTTTCTTGATTATTACGCAGGAATGAGAGTATAGTTCCTAGCCATATCAGCCTAGAAAATCCCAACTTTACATTTTCCGTCGGTCTTAGTGCACGATGTGACTACAGAAGAGTCAAGTTTTAAAAAGGAAAAATATCGAAACTCTTTGGTCTTTTTTTTTTTGAGAAATGCTAATGGTCTTGTCCACTTCAACGATGTATGCTAAGCTATGCTAAAAGTGGTACGGCCAGAACCGGAGATCGGCTGAATGGATTCAAAAACGGTAAAACTCAACAGTTTAACTCTGGGGGAGTTTTAAAATGAGCCTATTTCCAAAAAAAGTGGAGTATCCCTTTAAAGTGCTTGAACCCCGATAATTGCTGCTTGCAGCTATTATTATTTTATCATTATTTATTTTTTTATTAAGTCAAAATATTATTTAATATGACTGAATCAACAGGACTGCATTAGGTTACACCAAAGAAAGTAATATTTAAGAGTCAGGAAAAGGCCCCTTAAGCATGTAAGTTACATTAAGGGACTGTTTCTACCTGCACTGACCCTTAATATGTTTATGAATTTATTACGGTGAATAAATTATATTCTCATTCAGAGTAAAACACAGGTAAGTTGTAGCAAAATAACAGAGAATCTGAGGAATGTTTCTACCTCTTCAATATCTTTAAAGACAATACTTTAGTAAAATGAATAGCTCTTGGCATAAACAGTTGAATCACATCAGAAAAATCCATAAAATGCACTTTTGAGAGAGAAATGCTTGTATAACAACCATCATTCAATAAACTTGCACAATCAGCGTGAGAAAGGATTCAGTGAGAGTTCTTTCCATTGTTTGGAAATGACAAAATAAATATAATGGCTTTGAAGCCTTTCCAGGGCTTTTTTTTATTTTATTTTTTTTAGATAAGGATGTATGAAGTATGTGACTGTAATTTGACAGAGGACAAGAAATGAAATTCCTCAGCCGTTAAAAAGTTTCACAAACTTGCAGAACTTCAGTTTTGAAATTACACAGGAAGCCAACGAATGCTGGAGTTGAATCAGTAATCAGAGGGAATATGAGATGTGCAATGTCTCTGAGGTCCTGCACCTTCCTGTAGTATATGCAGCACAAAATGTGATTGAGTTGTCAGCAGTCACCTGTGTGTGTGTGTGTGTGTGTGTGTGTGTGTGTGTGTGTGTGTGTGTGTGTGTGTGTGTGTGTGTGTGTGTGTGTGTGTGTGTGTGTGTGTGTGTGTGTTGATTGGCTGCTGCACATGCTTGACAGCGGTAACAATGTAGAATCATGAGATTTAAAGTGTCTCATCCATTTCAGACCCTTGCTTTCAATCCTGTAACTTGTTATACTGTCATAGGATATTAAACCTCAGCTTTGAGTGTGTGCTAGCGCTCACATTGTATTCCCACAGGACAGTTAAAATCCATGCCATGGCTATAAAATTGTAACCTGTGGCAAAGTTCTAGTCAACTAGTGGAACATTATAACTGAAATGTCATGACAGACAGGGAGAAAAGTTCTCATTTCTCTCATTCTTTCTGCACTGTCAGGAGGAGGGTTATGATTTGTAGAACAACTATATATGGTAGAGCAAGTCTGATGGACACATACTAGATGGTGCTTGGTGCCAACTGTGCAAAAGTGCCTCTTCAGTTCCAGCTGTAGAGTTTACATATGTTATACACATCTGTTGAGCTGTTACTCTGTGCACAGCTGATAGATTAAAACCATGTAATTGCATTAGTAGGAGCATGAGCGGTGTGAAGAGTGTGTGGTGCAGAGTGTGGGAGGACAGCCTGCTTTATGGTGTTCATAAATATCAGGACCCCTACAGGCTGGAGAATTGAATTTCGATGAAGTCTGTAAATTGTATGTCCAACTTTAAGTGTGTGCGTTTGGATCCAACTCTAATAGCAGTGGCTCGAGGACATCAGATCTTTATTGGTCTGAAAGAAGCATCATGGGCATTAAATCTGATGGGACAGGTGCCAGGCCCAGCACAGATTTTTATATTTTGAATACAACTTCCACAACAAAAATGTGTCTAATTATGTTGCACAATTATTGTAAGTAAAAATGGTGTTTTCAATGCTGTGAATGCACATAAGTATGTCTTATTTTGGTCAATCCACTCAAGTCGTTTTTTTCCACACAATGAAAATTCAACTGTGTTTAAAATTATTACATAAAAATTATATAATCAGGATTCATGGTGAATACTAACAGCAGTGTGCAATTAAACACATTTGTTGACTTAATCTTACATTTTTGCAATTATTACACTGAGTTAAATCAAGTTACCTAATGGGAGCCTGTTTCTGCCACATGGATACAATGCTTTGGTAAATTATATTATGACATCAAAAGTTATGATTATGAGATAGTCCTAATCATGAGATTAAAAAGTTGAAATTATGAGATAATGTCGTAGTTATGACTTTATAATGACTTTTCTTCTCATAATTTAAACTTTGTAATAATTTCGACTTTCTCTTATCTTTCACTTAATTTCTCAAAATAAAAGGTCAAATTATTACATAGTATCTCATAATTCTGACTTTAGTATCTTTCAGTTTCGACTAAGTAATAATTTTGATATAAAAAGACAAAATTATAAATTACAAGTTGAAATTGAGTTTCAATTAAGTCAGCTAAGACAAAATAATAATTTACATTTGACATTTTGTCTCATAATTTCAAGTTTTTGTCATATTCAGGGTTTTAGCTGATAATTTACACTTTTTTTGTCATAATTATGATTTACCAAAGCAGTGACAGAAATGGGCTACCACAATTATGTTCAGTGACTGACCCAGCATAATAATTTGACATATAATCCAGGTTATAATACTTTTAATGTTTTTTTTGTTTTGTTTTTACACTTTAACCATCTGAGTTGCACCTGCTGCAACTTATAGCCTACTTAAATGGTGAACAGTCTTTGAGACGACCACAATTGGTGAACTTGATGGTGGCTGAGGGCCTTGTTGGCCCGTGTGCCTTATTAATTCATGCGTCTTTCTCATTGTTCATGCGTTTTAGACCACGCTGATTTGTTCATGATGAAATGTGTCTCCTACTTTGTGTTCTTCAGACTGTGCGCACCATCCGCCGGCGCCGCTGCTACCCGCCGACCTGGAAGCGCTGGGTCTTCTTCCTGTTCCCCGGCACCACCATTGCCACATCAGCGGTGGCCTTATATGCCTTCGTGGAGACGGAGGAGAATTACTTCTACATCCACAGCATCTGGCACATGCTCATCGCCGGGAGCGTCGGCTTCCTTCTTCCGCCACGTGCCAAACCAGACGTGAAAGTCACTCCCCTGAAGCGGCGGCGAGGCTGTGGCTACCAGCTCTGTGTGAACGAGCACGAGGAGATGGGACTGGTGGACCCAGCGATCATTACCATCAACAGCATATGCACCAGCTGATGATGTTTGATGGAGTTTAGCGACGTGGACTTTTATTTGCCTTTCCTCTCCTTCCTTTGGAATATAAAAACACGGAAAACAAAGCCAGAGAACTGATGCACTGTAAATAACTTTTGACCGAAACACAGAAACGCGCATATATGTACAAGTTTTTTGTCATCGTTATTGGGATTACTATTATCGACGTTAATATCGTTTGCATTGTTAGTATCTGGGAATGGTTTGTGTCAGTACAGCGATGCACTGTTATTAGTGCATTATTTAAAACTTCTGAGCTGATTTTGCTGCTGCTACTTGACAGTGACTGTAAAATTAAAAAAACAAAAAATGTGTCATGTAATTTATTCGTTGTTTTCTGGCACTCAAATGACCAAATGTTTTATTGTGTTTAGAGGATGCAAAGGAAGAACATTTTGTGGATGTATTGAGGGCACTGCTTTTTTAGTTTTCTTTTTAAACATCTTTTGCACTGAGACACAAAAATGTGATACTGTACATTTTTTAAATATATAAGTATAGTTATGATCCAGTCACAATGTATACATGTACATGTATAGTATAGTTGTTTTCAGTGGAATGTCTGATTGTACTTTGGATTGCATTGTATTATTGCCATTGCAGCATAATTGATTGTCGATTTATAGAGGGTTTAGAAAAGTATCCATTGCCAAGACCAGGTTTTAATACGAAACCTCAAATAAATAACCTCATATTTCCGGTTGTATAGTGAGGATCAAAGGGAGACATTTTAAAGCAAAAGCAACTGATCACACAAATAAACGTTTTATTTTTTCGGTATCAAACCGGATTCATATGTAGCCCTGTGAAAGAGTAATGTGTTACTTCTTGAAAATGACACCATATTTTGATGTCTAATGTGCATAGATTGTCATCATCATACCCAAGTATACTGGAGAGATGAGAAACCGCAAGCAGAGGCCTCTGGGATTCAAACCCCATTTTTTTTAAAATAAATCGTTTATTCCCAACATCATATTATGACATCATCATCTGTATGTCAGTTACTATGATGCTGCCTATGAGGACAGTTTCCTTTTGGCCTGTAGGATATGCCCATCTGCATCAATGTAATCACTGCACTAGTTCTCTTAAAGTGCTCTCATATCACACATCAGTTTCAGCTTCAGGACTGTTTTTCTGTCTTGAGATCACACAATGATACAATATATCCTACCATAACTGCCTTTGACTAGGGAAGAATCATCATGTGTCATGCTACTTCTTGTATGAATGAATAATCATCATATTCCAGGCTGAACATTTCTACAACTTGTTTAACAAAAGAAACAAACTTTTAGTTATACATCCATTGACTTCTGAAATTAAATCCTTGTTATAATTGCACAGAAACAGTGTTGAACATTATGACCGTAACTACATAATGCCATATTGTTATTACCAGTAATTTATTTCATTATTTTATCTTGATTTACAAGTAAAAATGTCACAATTCCAGCCTTACTGAGCAATGCTGCAAACTGTCGCTTTGTGCCACCTGGTGATGATTTCGCAAATATGCGTTGAATTTAACCATGGCTTTGCTTCCAACTGTGAATGTTTTGGGCATATACACTACCAATTCAAAAGTTTGGGTTTAGTAAGATTTTTTTTTTAAAGACGACTCTTATTCTCACCAAGACTGCAATTATATGATCAAAAATACCATAAAAAAAAAAAGTGATATTGTGAAATATTATTACAAATGACATTAAATGTTATTTATTTTATTATATTTTAAAATTAAATTTATTCCAGTGATGGCAAAGCTGAATTTTCAGCATCATTACTCCAGTCTTAAGTGTCACATGATCCTTCAGAAATCATTCTAATATGATGATTTGCTGCTCAAGAAATATTTCTTATCAATGTTGAAAACAGTTGTGATGCTTAATATTTTTGTGGAAGCTTTAATAAATTCTTATCAGGATTCTTTGATAAATAGAAAGTTCAAAAGAACAGCATTTATTTTAAATTTGTTAAAACAATGGAAAGTCTTGTCACTTTTGATCAATTTAATTTATTCAATTTAATCATCTGCACTTGCTGAATAAACATTCATTAAATCTTACTGACCCCAAACTTTTACAAAGTGAATTAAGTAATTTTATGATAATAATCAATTAAGAATCTTAATTTGGTGAACCTTGTCCTCCCACATCCACATACAAATCAAGCCCTCCCTAAACCCGATTTTCTGTGATCCAGCATTTTGTGTTTGATAAGCAGCTTTTTGCCAATAGGCATTTATGCTCATTTCTCCACACACAACACATTCTCTAAGTCTCACAAGGCTCTGTCATGTGTCGGAGCGATCTTTTGCAATTTTCCTAGTCAAAATGGTAATGGATGAGAAATGTCACGCTGAGATTAGGGACACGGTGAGATTGGCTGCGGTTAGATGGCGAGTAGGTAAACGAGCTAGATTTCTAAGTTAGTGAAAGCCATTTATTTCACTCATTTAAAATCATTTTCAATTCACAAAATGTTCTTTAAATGTGCCTCAGTTTGCAGTGTAATTAGGACATGGTATTAAAATCCTTATCTATTCCATGTGCTTTCAGTAATGTCTGGGTGTCTGTATTGCAAAGGAAGTGGCTCAGCAGGAGTCTAAACTGACAGCAGCCTGGGCGCAGCGTCACAAATGGGAGGAGTGGCGTAACATGTTTTAATTAAGATATGAATGTGTTTGCAGCCACTGAGAGCAGAGTGACAGCACATGAATTATACAAGTCCAAAGAATGAGCAACACTTACTGTAAGCCTGACACCCACTCTAAAACATGAAGTAGGCTATAGTGGTTGAGCAGGAAACGTGACTAACACTCCGGAAAAACTGGAAAGAAGCATTATGCTTTAGGAACAAAGATGTTTTAAACAGTTCACCATTGAAATGCATACAATGTTCCATGTTTCATTAAATCATGTGTTTTTATTCATAATTTACATTTTAATAGACAAACATCGTTACTCAAGTCTTGCTCTGTGGCATCAGTGCATTGTATAGAATAGACAAATCATCAAAACATGCGGTTTCTGTCATAGTTTGTGCGTTCCTGCATTATTTCTGTATTAAAGATGGAGAAAGTAGTGGTGTTAGAAGACATTTAAATCTAATGTCTGTATTTCCCCTACTGTCATCAAATGTAGCTAATTGCAAAAATAATGACTGTTTTCTAATCGGTTTCCTTAAAACACTCCTTGTCTTCTATTGGTTAAATAATCTGATGATCCCGCCCCAATCCCATGCCATTTGTTGAGCCAACGTTGCTGTTGTTGTTGGGCAGTTTTGGATGCTCAAACAAAGAGTTTAAAAGCAGCACAAAGTTGGGCAGGGATCAACTTATGAATGTCTTACAGTTGTCTCTGCATAAAAAGCTGGTCTAGGAAAAAGCATTTTAATATCAAAAAGTACACACTTCAGCTTTAAGCAATAACGACAGATTCTGAAACAAAAATGGAATAGTCTTGATGTATAATTCCTGGCTTCATAGCCAAGACGATGAGGGGAACAGCAAAGAACTAAAATCAAAACTGACAGTGCAGCCAATCAGCACAATGAAGATAGACCCCCACATTTATTTACAATCACAAAATCTGCTTCAATAGCAGAGTTTTTGGGGGTTTTTTTTGCATTGGCACAACATGTTAAACTATCTTTACAAAACTCTATCAATCTATCAAAAGCAACGCACTCTCATGGCAATTCGTAACTCATGGCAACTTTTTTTGGGTGAATTGGAGTCTAAGTTTGTACAATCTCCTGTATATGTTTTTGTACGATTTGCTTGCGATCTGTGCGCCCCACTGGCAGTTAAGTTTAGTAAAAGGACCCCTTTTTTCCCTTAAAAAATTTACATAACAATCACATGGTACAATCGCTAATTCGTGAAATAGTTATTACTCATGTTATCGTTTTTCCAAACAACAAAATAACAAAAAACAACCCACTTTAGTAATACAACTAAAATATGCATCTTTCTGTCCTATACAAATCATAAACATCTTTCATTAATTCATCTCAACAAACACAATTCTGACATCAGCAACTCTAAGCAAAAAACCTTCACTTAGCTTTCTCATGTAGTCAAACATTGAAAAAGGTGTTTAAAACTTCATAAAAACATATGTAGGATCAAAACAACGTTATAAAGCAGCAGTCTTTCACTCATCAGGTTCATCAAAATCGATTCACTGTGCACTGCATAGTCACTGCATGATTCACAGGATAAAAAAAAACAAAAAAAATCAATATGAAGACATCTCAGGAAGGCATTTGAAAACGCTGAGAGGAGAAAACATTTTGGATACAATAGGGGAACTATTATATTTTTTAAAAATAATTGCTGAAAGTCTGTCTCTTAAAACACTATAAAACTTTTTTTTTACCAAAACCATTACAATTACAAAACAATTACATTCGCATACAGAACATTCCCTGTAATGTGAGGCTGGACATAACAACAGTCATGGGGAGTATACGTGAAATGCTCTTAATGTGCATAATTTATTTATTTTTGTGCCTTAGTATCCATCAGCATTAACCTTAGTGGCTCCGTAGGCTCCTACATGTTTTGCTTTCAGCTGCAGATGCATAGACAGAAAGCCACATGAACATTCCCCCAGCTCCTTTACCCAACTGTCTCGCTCTGAAAGCATACGGAGGACAACAGTGTTGTTTGTGGCGACAGACATACAGCCAGACAGAGACCCAGGACCCCCCTGCTCTATATGTAGCAGAGGACTGCTCACAGTCTCAGGAACAGACAGTCCAACATCAACCAGGTTTCTCAGCATCACCACAGAATGAATCAGAGCAGAAAGCCCTCCAGTCACAGCAACAAACAGCGTCTCGTCGTCTTGATCCTCTTCGTTTTCATATATCTTGAGCACTAGAGGGAAACTAAAATAAGGCACCTGAGTGATGTCTGAGGTAAAGTCATTGAGAATGACTCCGCTACTTGGTAAGCATTGCCCGGATCCCCATGTGCTGTTGAGCGAGGTGGAGATTACTATGAAATTGCCGTGACTATCAAGGACTCCTACGTGACTGCTTGTGGTATTTAATGTGAATATCTCTCTCTGACTTGTGTTGAAGAATTCATTCGCCAAATGTAAGAGAGCATTATAAGAGGCAGAGGCATTACCGAGATCTCCGTGGCTCGGAAAAGTGAGGTTTTGCTCTCGTACTCTATCTAATAAATTGGATACCATTGCACCTGTGAGACTTAAGGGGGCTGAAAGAATCCTGTATTTCTCCTTTTCCAAGATAAGGGGCTCATTGATTTCTCCGCTGCCGGCTTGAACGGCAGCAAGGAATGCCGGCCTCTCAGCTTCAGAAATGTCTTGAGCCAATTTTACGGCTAGCTTTTCTGGTAAATTGGAGCCATTTAGGCTGACGCTCAGCAAAAGTTCTGATAGATTCCTATTGGCAACAATGTCGCCCTCTGATTTCACACGGCCGTCCGTATCACAGAACAGATCGGACAATCCTGGCTGGAGTATTTTGTCACTGTGGGCTTTTAAAGCCTTGGAGAGGATTCCATCGATAAGGAAACCGTCTTTAGCGAGTTTCGTGGCGCCCTCAAAAAGCCGACTCCATTCTAAATGCCCGTAGTTGGAGTGCAGCAGTTGAAGGCCCTGCAATAATGAGGGAGCTCTGTATATAGGAGGCTTCTGAGAGGTGTGATGTATTGCTTTAAATGATTTTGTAGAGTGATTGTACAAAATTGCAGAAAACACTCCACCTTGAAGAAAAGGGAAGCACAAATGAATCATTCAACAGCCTCAAAAAAAAAACGTCATGCTTTTAGTAACCTCATGAAAGGCAAATTCAGTGGTAATTAGTTGTAGACATTAACAACAGTAAGCATTTGAGAGTCTAAACTGCTCAAATAATCATGTAGAAGGGATTTTTTTAGAAGGGAAACATTATTTTACATCTAAAGAGACGGTCTTTAAAACTACTTGTTTAAACCATTTGAAATGCATAACACTTCAACAAAACTTTCCCATGCTGTTTTTAGAGAATTACACTGAATACTGGAAGTTAAACATTAAAACTTTGATTTCAGGAAATTACATCACTCTTCGAAAAGAGATAAAAATCAATCACATATCTCAAAATCAGTGATGAATGTTAATAGCATTGGCAGTGCTGTTGTCGAGACCAACTCCTTCGAGTCCAAGACCAAAAGAGGATTGTGTATATTCAAGACCATAATTTCATTTTATATTATCAACAAAACCCGTCTCCATACTGGCATGATGAATGCGATCTTCAACCAGATATTTTGAATGTTCCAATCCCAATCTAACTTCTGACCTGTGATGCTGCCTGAATCATCAGAATCATACAGTGTTCGTTTGTTGGCCAGACAAGGTTTTTTCTCCATTCTGTCACCGGATGGAGTTTGAGTTCCTTGCCACTGTCGCCTTTGGCTTGCTTTGTAGGGACACTTAATATGTAAGGGTTAATGCCCGACGAGGTGTCCATTGTCAGGTTTTAATGGACGACGGCGAGGTGTGAACCGGCCGACGTGCAGCGGAGGCATTAACCCGCTTATACCATGGTCACTTGCCAAATAAAACATTTTTAAAACATTAGTTTATATTTTAATTAGGCTAAATCTAGTTTTTACAAATAATAACTTGCCTGACGGTTTATTTAGCAACCGGAGATATTTATAGTCTCAGCTTGTAGAACCCTTCAGGTTCAAAAATGCTTTTTTTTTTTTTTTCATGAAACACAAAGGTAGGCATAGTTTTTTTTTTTTTTTTTTTACACATAAAACAATTAATCAAACAACAATCAAACAACAAAAATAATTAGTTCTGCGCTCCAGCGATTTGCGCTTATTAAGGGCAATAAATTAATCAGATCAATCTGTTTTATTTACATTTTTTCTTTCTTCAGCAGCATCCCAGTCGTCAAAGTTGTCATATTCTCCATAAATGTTAAAAGAAATTACGAAGTCGCTCATTGTTGTATTAGTAGGTTATGTAATATCTAACTAACGTTAGATGTTTGTTTTAATAGAGCAAATTGTTAACGGATACTTTGACTGCCTGTTGCTATGGTTACTCACAGCTGTTGTAGGCAGTGCATTTATTTATTAATTTCGAATGGTAAACAGTCAGTTTCACCAGAACTACTTTACTAGGTGTCCTCTATCACTTTTTAACGGACACCCTGCAGCCAATCAGAATCGAGTATTCACCCAGACCATGGTATAATCAACAATATTATTGATCTGCCTGCCCTGCACTGACACCATTGTATGAGAACTGAACTGAGATGGACGAGGACATCACTGTTTTCTCCAGAGCTGCTGTATAGATTATAAATGGATAAATTAATAATAAAATAAATTTACAACGGAAATGAATCAACACTGAACTTAAGCTGGCCAACAACACTATTTTCTTTCAGAGCTGCTGTACAGCCGAAACAAACTTTGTTGCATTAAAGTGTTATATCAATAAACAACACATTCTCATCCCAAGGCGTCTTCTAACTGACACTTTTGACCATGCGTCAACATGCCGACGCACATGGTACCCCTTAAGCGTCAATATGAGACGCTCATCCTCGGGCGTCATCTAAATCCGACGCACATGGCACCCTTTAGCGTCAGTTAGATGACGCTTCCGTTATGGGTAGGTTTAGGTCTGGGGTAGGGTTAGGGTTAGACCACTAGGAGGCGCGTCTCATATTGACGCTTAAGGGGTACCATGTGCGTCGGCATGTTGACGCATGGTCAAAAGCGTCAGTTAGATGACGCCTTGGGATGAGAACAGGCTGCAATAAAGGTGACTTGACTTGATCTTGTCATGGACTTAGGAGCATGCAGACTAAGACCCCATTTACACCTGGTATTAAAATGAGATCTGTATCCAGATAAGTTATCCGGATAATAAGTGTTCTGATCTTACCTTTGCAGGGGCGGACTGGCCATCTGTGTGATCTGGAGTATCAAAGAACGGCCGGTACTCCAGGACGGCCGGCGGGCCGGCCCACCACCCGCCACACACGCAGTCATAACCTGTTTTTTCCCCCCACTAATCTGTTTCACACTCCAGTACTGTAGGTGGCAGCAATGCACCTTTAAGTTGGATGCCAGCGCGGAGCATTATCAGCTCGGCCCAAAAAAACTGCGATCGCGGCCGAATCAGCTGTGCGGACTGATCTCGATCACGCGAACATTATTACACAGAGTTGCGCGATCCACTGAGAAGCATTTCAATTCAGCGCAGAATTCTCTATCTCTATTATAAACCCACAGATGGCTGTGATTTAAGCTAGTTAAAAGCCAGATTAAACAGCGCTGATATTCTCAACATCTTGACGCAAAAAAACAGGTGAAACATTGTTCCAAGAACAAACCAGTTAGAAGACATTTCACTCCACAACTTATGAATTAACTGTAACTTAGTAAAACAAACTTTTTTGGCAGAAATGTGCCTGTATTCATATTAAAAATGCTGTTATATTAATAGTCATGTAGGCCTATAAATGTAGGCTATTAAATGTAATGCAGTAATGTTTTTGTTTAGAAGTTATGGCAGTTTATTTATTTATTTTGCATTAAATATTTATACTAAATGTTTATGCTACAATAGGTTTTTAGAGAATAATATATATATATATATATATATATATATATATATATATATATTACAAATTTTTCACCAATTGTTGAACCAGAATATCAAGATATTTTATTATTTCGCATATGATGGTGAAAAATAAAAAAGTTAAAGTTAAAAGTAAAGGTAAGGTAAAAAACACCACCATGTTATATGTATAATAAATATTTTTGAGTATAGCCCTTCTAGATTATTTTATCCCTTGAGGTAGCCCTCACACACAAAAAGGTTGGAGACCCCTGGTATATAGTAACTAAATGTTTTATAATTACAAGTTTGTGTAATTAGGGTTTCTGTAGCCAGTGACATTTCATTATTTGTATTTTATTTTCAATGCAGATGTAATGGCATTGTACATTTTTTTGTTTTTATTTGAAGACTGAGGCTTCATTAATAAACAAAACCCCAATTGTCATCATTGTTTTTGAGATATTACTTGCTGTGAATACCTTGTCTGATATAGGTTACAGTATTGTGGCATAGTATCAGGACATCCTAGTGGCTAGGGGCGAATGGCTGGATGATGGGCCTATTTGGGAGAAAGTCCAGGGCTGTTTTTTAGCCCCAGTCCGTCCCTGTACCTTTGCGTTTACACCTTGTATTTTTAATGCGTTCTCGTTATCCACATTGAGTTCGGATCTCTGTCCTCCAGAAAAAAAATGACGTTTGGCAGGTACGAATGCCATCACGTCGTACGGATTGCGTTTACACCTAGTAAAGATCCGAACACAATGCGAGCCAGACTACCTCCAGATGTGGTCAGGCAGATCCGATCACAATCCGATCACAACGTATTTACACCTTGCATTAACATGCGTTTTTTATTATCCGGATAACTTATCTGGATACAGATCGCATTTTAATACCAGGTGTAAATGGGGTCTAATTGTTGACTCAGATTCAACCCTTTTCTGATCTTTGTCTTGACTCAGATTCCAATGAGCTGGTCTCGACTACAACACTGAGAATTTGACTTTTTGTTCTGACCAACCGAGACTGTGCCCCTGAAATATCTGATTTGTGAATGAAGGTGAAGTGATAAAAAGTACACAATAGTACTGACCTAATCCAGCAGTGTGTGGATGAACAACTCCTAGGCAGAGTAAAGCAGCAATCCCGGCATCAACCACATTCCCTTGCTCCTGAAGAAGCTTCTTACCAATACTGGAGCAGTTTGCTATAAAGAAAAAGTCACACTAGATACATCAAGATATGTTTTGAAACATATTTATGAATTTTCTGTCATAACACACATTTTTATTATAATTGTTAATGAAAGGAGTCATGCCTGAGTCTGTGATGATAGCAGCATTGTGGTACAGATGTGGACTGTGCTCATGAGTGTGATTATTATTATCTTTGTGGTTGTGGTCCTTGTCGTGATCATCATCTTCTCCATGCTCGTGGTGTTCGTGGTCTTCATCCTCAGAGGTCTTGTGTGTCTTGTTAGGCTCCTGATGATGTGACAGGTCCTGACGCTCTTCAACTCCAGGCCAATAGCAATTCCATTCATACAACATAAATCCAAAAACAATTCCCAGAAGAATCACAGCCACCATGACCCTGATACAGGTGTCTCTTTTCCTTATCTGTCTTTGCTGATTGATGAAGGGCCTGTAGAGAGTAAGAACAATAAGAGTCTGGAGGGACTGTATTCATAAAGCACAAATATAAAGTAGTTTGTTTTTTTATGCTGCTATGAACCAGTATGTTAGTGGCTGGCCCATCACTTTGATCTGCTGGCTGATAGCTGGAATACAATGCAAAGTTGGACAGTGCGTCAGGCGCACACTAGAACCAGCAGCTTTAACTGCCATTTAAATGCGAATGCTAATTGAAATTATCAGGCTTCAATTGGTCGAATTGTAGCAATTCCAGTTTCTCACATAAAGTTTTTGTATGACTTCACAAGACTTGTGAATGTGATATAGTGCGCAAGTCATATGGGCTAATTTTTTAATACGTTTATCATGTTTCCCAGCTTTTTGACCAAAAAATTCCTTCCTAAAAAAATCTTTCAGACCATTTTGTGAACTGGTTTGACTGATTTATTGAAACCATTTTTGTTGTTCTTTTTAAATTGAAGAGTTTAACACTGCATGGTTGTCTTGATTGGAAAGATTAAAAAAAAGAATTCTTAAATTTTAGATGATTACTCATTAAATTTATAGTTGAAGGAAATTAATTACAACTCGTACCTGGCAGGAGTATAACGACATAATATTGAGAACATTTACACTGGAACACCCTGCTGCTGCTAGCGACGCGACGCGACGCAGCCAAACGTGAAAGATGATCCGATCGCAGTCAATGCAGGTGTTCTTCTGCGTTGCCGTTTGTCTCGTCGCGTCGCGTCTCTAGCAGGGTAGAGCACCTGTTGTCGCACTAAGATCAACGAAAGCAGCCACGACATAAGAGAAAATGCAATTCACAATAAAGCAGATTCTTTAGAAATGAACGTGCACAACAGACGTCAAGCTCATTTTACTTTCATTTTGTCACTTACGAATGGGAAACTATCGTAATTTCTTCATTGTCTTCTTCTTCATTACAATCGTTGTCGTTTTCATCTTGCACATCGCTTGCAAGTACTTTATATTTAACAGTGCTCTGTACCATTTTCCCCTTGTGCATTTTGGCTGTTAAGTTAAAACATTGATCCGGTAACCTGTAATCTCCTACTTCCTGTTCGTCCTGTCAGGCCAGGTACTACACAAACCCTACTGAGGGGCGTGTGTTTCAAGACATTTGTTTATATAATGTATAAAATATCAGTAGCCTAAGCTTAATATATAAAAATCATAATTTATTGGGTACTTTCAATTGGTAGGTGGCTGTCCCAAAACCTAACCCCTAAATTCCAACTTATGAAAATGATATTGAAATAATTTTAGCATTGTATTTAATTGTTGTAAAACAATATATAAATATATATATATATATATATATATATATATATATATATATATATATATATATATATATATATATATATATATATATATATATATATATATATATATATATATATATATATATATATATTGTCAAACCAATGTTTTATGGTTTGGTTTAGTAGGCTATGATTTACTATGAAAAGTAGTGCTATGCTATGAGAAATTGTAGCCTTGAAATGAAATATGCATTTGTGACTATGGCAGTGATTTTTTTTTTTTTTTTGTGGGCAATAATGGTGGACCTGTTCAACAGGCCAATACTTTAATGTATGTGTCTACAGAAAATGACTTTCAGAAATAAACTCACCCTGAGAAATATTCTAGCCTACAACATGACAACGAACACTTTCCCCTATTTCTGCTAAAACACTGTAGTTAGAATTAGTGTTACTATAGTAAGCTAAACATTGTATGTTTTTATCCTCTATGGAAGTCAGATCTATCCACAAAGGCTCGGGCTCAAGGTGAGGCAGTTGGGCTGGCCTGTGCTGATTCTCAATGTTCCAGTGACCTGGAAGCGAGCTGAGACCATAAGCCTCAATATTCTTTTCAAAGTACATGTGACTCCAAATCTCCATCTTCAAGGGAATCATGGTGCACGGCTTCCCACCTTATTTACTTTTTGACATTTACTGGAAGGTTTTCAAACATGCAGAATGTAATTGAATATAAAATTCCCCGCAGAGATGGTGAGAAGCACTGTCATATCGACATACAGCGAGAGATTGAGAATCTCAGCAATACTGACCAGCGTAAATGTCACTCATGTGGTTATGACTTTATTTGTTTATACCCTCTGTTCTCAGGGTATCACTTGCCCCCCTCTATTCCACATGTGGCTCGACAGCGGTATTCAAATACACCTCTATACATCCCTGAATGTCAGCACATTAGAAGAATGCAAAAAAGAGGTTTCCATGGAGTACTATCTCTTTGATCAGTTTTATGTGTGTTTGAATAGACTTTGAAGCTAGGAGATTCGTAAGATATACTGTCTGGCACTTGCTCCTTTGTGAGGGTTGTCTCTTTTTGTTTTGCCTGGTGCTTTTTGAAAAAAGCATGCCATTATTATCCCTGTGGAGGGGGTTTAGAAGAACTGCATCTTTATACATCAGACTATTTATAATGAAAAACAAAAAGGTGGTTCTCAGAAGGCACAATTCACAGGCAAAGATATTGTCAACCGATTCAGTCAAACTTTCTCATCCGGATTTGTGCCAATATTGTGAACATGCGTACCATTATTATTGTGCAAAGCATTAAAGGAGAACTCCGGCGCAAAATGAACCTTTGGTCTAATAAAACATTGGTACCTAGTCAACCGTTCTCTGAGATACAGACAGGAGCCATCTCTGGAAAACAGTCTCGACTAATCAAACCACGAACGCCATTCATACAGTTCAGAAGTTCACTGAACTTCATACAGTTCAGCTCACTTAGCACGTCGTTCGTGGTTTGATTAGTCGAGACTGTTTTCCAAAGATGGCTCCTGTCTGTATACACGAAGTGGACTGTCTTTATCTTTATCTTCTTATTAAACGGTCTGTACACTTACAAAGTTCTCAATGCTTCGTTTTGCATGTAGGGACCCTCATTATGTTACTGTGTTCGTGTGGGTCTATTTTGAGCCTTGTTAGTGGTATAAACTAGCGATTTCTTTTTACTTATTAAATGCCCCCATTACTAGCGTTATACGCTAAACAGTTTTTAGAGATAGAACTCTTTACATTCGATTATCATGAAAACAAATCTCACAGAACGGTTGACTAGGTACCAATGTTTTATTAGACCAAAGGTTCATTTTGCGCCGGAGTTCTCCTTTAACATTGCAAACGAAAACAGATAATGTCCTTTACAGGACACAGCGATGCTTACAAACACTGAGGCACCAGCAAAGGGAGTTGCAAGACATTGTAATATATACACACACAATTTATACATATTACACTTACTAATTTAATGTAGAGAACAAAAACAGAAACCCCAAAACATGAAAAAAACAACAACAAAAAACACCTAAATCTTGACAGCAGCATGGATTCCAAACTTAAAACAGAAATATAGATAAAGATAGATACAATATATCACATATGATGAAGTAGCTTAGCATGAGGGGAATGGATGTGGATCAAATAATAAATAGGCTACTGTCAGAATTTGTAATTGCTTCTGGTCCTTGAAGTCATGATTCTGTATCCCCTCTTAATTGGATAGACCTGAAGGCCTCCTCAGCAGTTTATCATATCATAACCCATGGACAGCCTAAAACGAACTGTTTAAAGCCTGGTGATTCGACCTGTTGTTGCTTCTTAAAGCTTTGTGTGGATGTGTATGGCAAGTCAAAAAGAACAAGCTCATGTCCTTGGTACTGGTTCAAATGGGGAATAAGGATTTGAAAAGTAATGATGGGAACGGTTTTGCAGTTGTTAGGCACTAAAACAAGTCTTCTACTGGTGCTACTTATTTGAATAGCACTCACGTTTTAAAGGTTATTATGCTCCTCTGTGATAAGATATGTGTTGTTTGATTAATTTGGTGGCAGGCTGGCATTGGACAGAACTTTTCAACTACTAGAGTGATACCACTAAACTGTGAGTTCTAGCTGTATTTGTGAGAAATCTGTGAGAGTCTCCATAAACAGTAATTGCTGTATAGATTAAGACAGACAGTCTAATAGTCTGATGCAGTAGCAGAATCAATGTCACTTATACAGTATATAGACAGAGGTGCCAAATGTGAACATAATTGGTTGTTATTGTGCAAATATATTATATATACACTCACCGGCCACTTTATTAGGTACACCTGTCCAACTGCTCGTTAACACTTAATTTCTAAGCAGCCAATCACATGGCGGCAACTCAGTGCATTTAGGCATGTAGACATGGTCAAGACAATCTCCTGCAGTTCAAACCGAGCATCAGTATGGGGAAGAAAGGTGATTTGAGTGACTTTGAACGTGGCATGATTGTTGGTGCCAGAAGGGCTGGTCTGAGTATTTCAGAAACTGCTAATCTACTGGGATTTTCACGCACAACCATCTCTAGGGTTTACAGAGAATGGTCCGAAAAAGAAAAAACATCCAGTGAGCGGCAGTTCTGTGGGCGGAAATGCCTTGTTGATGCCAGAGGTCAGAGGAGAATGGCCAGACTGGTTCGAGCTGATAGAAGGGCAACAGTGACTGAAATAACCACGCGTTACAACCGAGGTATGCAGCAAAGCATTTGTGAAGCCACAACACGCACAACCTTGAGGCGGATGGGCTACAACAGCAGAAGACTCCACCGGGTACCACTCATCTCCACTACAAATAGGAAAAAGAGGCTACAATTTGCAAGAGCTCACCAAAATTGAACAGTTGAAGACTGGAAAAATGTTGCCTGGTCTGATGAGTCTCGATTTCTGTTGAGACATTCAGATGTTAGAGTCAGAATTTGGCGTAAACAGAATGAGAACATGGAACCATCATGCCTTGTTACCACTGTGCAGGCTGGTGGTGGTGGTGTAATGGTGTGGGGGATGTTTTCCTGGCACACTTTAGGCCCCTTAGTGCCAATTGGGCATCGTTTAAATGCCACGGCCTACCTGAGCATTGTTTCTGACCATGTCCATCCCTTTATGGCCACCATGTACCCATCCTCTGATGGCTACTTCCACCATGTCACAAAGCTCTAATCATTTCAAATTGGTTTCTTGAACATGACAATGAGTTCACTGTACTAAAATGGCCTCCACAGTCACCAGATCTCAACCCAATAGAGCATCTTTGGGATGTGGTGGAACGGGAGATTCGCATCATGGATGTGCAGCCGACAAATCTGCGGCAACTGTGTGATGCCATCATGTCAATATGGACCAAACTCCCTGAGGAATGCTTCCAGCACCTTGTTGAATCTATGCCACGAAGAATTGAGGCAGTTCTGAAGGCAAAAGGGGGTCCAACCCGTTACTAGCATGGGGTACCTAATAAAGTGGCCGGTGAGTGTATATATATATAGTGATGGTGGCAATCATAACACTGCCTTATTTGAGAAGCATATCAAAAGATAATTATGGAGAATATGGTGCACTGATGACAAATCACTTAGGAAAACATGTTCTAGTCTAAGGAAAATTATCATTAGATGGTAGATAAAAATAATAATAGAAATTAAAAACTAAAATGGTGGCAACCCTTTTTAGTTCATATGTATATTTGTTCCTCTTATCAGCAGTGGCCAAAATATAGTGGGCCATATTGAGCTCGGGTGGAGTATGGGTTATGTCCTAGATAAACTGTATGTTTTTTTTTTTTTTTTCGGCACCTGAGTTCACAGTTTCAGCACATTTGTTAAATGCTTATATAGTCCAACCTTGTTTTGCAGAGTAAATTTATTCTGAAACCAACTTTATACTGTAGTAGAGTCAATATGAAAATGTCAAGCCTCCCTGTAGAATACCAAAAGAACACTGACCCATTCAGGTCAGATATTTATTATATTCCTTCACAAGCTACAAAACAACCCTCCCCACACTCCATTATAGACAGAACTCTCAGTTCCCTTTCGTATATGAGTTACGTCGTGACGACGAATGGGGTTTCGCTTAGAAAGCCTATCAACTTCGAGAAATATAAAACGAGGCAATGGCAAGAAAATGCCATGGGTCTGCGGAATTTGCATAGCGTAATAATAACTACTTTGCGCGTGTTTTTCCAATACAAAATG